TCTAGCCAGGGTCAACCCACCACAAAAGTCATTACATTCACTATCTTAAACTTAAACTTTAAATAAAATTAAATCTTCTGATTTAAACCAGCCACAAGCCAGGAAATTCAGGCTTAAGAATGGGATCCTTTTAAAGTAATTTTATTCTAACTTGGATTTTCACTATGCTTACCAGTAGCAAATGTGCCCTCTGCAAATTATACACACCATGAAATCTCAGTCTTGACAAGACCTGGTGATAAGTTGCTATAACAGCAGCTTGGGGTTTGAGAAATGCACTTTCCTTCACACTCATGGCAACAGGTGACCTAGAGGTAATGACATCATTAACACATTTCAGATTTTTAAGGTCTCCCACTGGTGTTTTACTTGCAGTTTGTGGAGGAATCATTTAATTTTGGTGCTTCAAGGCCCTTGTGTTCTTAGTGGTATTTTTAAGAAAATAAACAGAAAAGCATAAGGAGAACATCCCCTAGGATATGTGATTTGGGAGGAAACCATCTAATTCCATCAGCAGATTCTATCTTGTATGAAAAAGAATTTGGGAATTTTTATAGCAGATCAGATAAAACTGCAATCAATCTAATTCAGTTTTCCCTTCAGGAATTGGCAATACTCATTTTTTAATAAGCAGTTATTAGGTACTTGCCACATTTTCTAACAGATTCTCCAGACAGATATGTTTGCATTGGTTATGGAAATGTAGGTATGTACATAAAAAAAAAAAAAAAAAAAAAAAAAAAAAAGAATAGAAAGAATAGTGTCTCAATTATTTGACTGAGTCATTATGGACTCTTCACTCTAGATAGGCAGGCAGAAGGATCTTTTGTTACTGTTTTTGCTATGTCTCTATGTCCTTCTCTATGTACCTTTCTGGGTACCGATTCTTCAGAAAATATTACTAAATGAATTGTTTACCTCTTCTTTTCAAAAGCTAACTTTCCTACACCTGTCGATTCTTTTTATTGTGTAAATACAAAAGAGTTGAAAACCACTAGCTTCTATCTAACAACGGTAACTTAGTAACATCCTACAAATGAGGTTTTTATTTACAAAAGCATTTGTCCTTGACAATTTGCTCCCTACAGTAACAATATTGTCCTGGTTTAGGTCCAGACAGCAACTAAGCACCATGCAGCTACTCGCTCACTCCTCCCTGTCCCCAGTGGGATGGGGAGGAGAATCAGAAGAAAAACCTAAAACTCGTGGGTTAAGATAAGGATAGTTTAACAGGACAACACAAGGAGAGAAGAAATAACACCGCTACTAATAAAAGAATATACAAAGCAAGTGATGCACAATGGAATTGCTCACCACCAGAACCCAACGCCCAGCCTGCTCCAGTGCCACGATCCCTCCTTCTCCAGTCAACTGCCCCAGTTTATAAGCTGAGCGTGACATCACATGGTATCGAATATTCCCTTGGTTAGTTTGGGTCAGCTTTCCTGGCTATGTCCCCTCACAGCTTCTTGTGAAAATTAACTCTATCCCAGATGAACCCAGGACAAATATGGAAACAAACCTATTAACTACTGAAAGTCATACAAAAGAAAAATGACAAAAACAAAACCAAAAACCAACCCCAAAATACTGGTAGTACAGCATATAGCAGCAAACAGTACAGTATATGGGAGCATTTCTGAACCAAACGGTGCCAGATTCTATCTCCATTGACATCAGTTGGATGCTGATCACCAAATTCAAAAAGATCATGCCAAGACTCCCACACTGAAAAGTAGGCTTTCAAATGGGATTTGTGTTGCATATCCAAACAATCTGAGTATCTGACACCTTTATTATATGCTAAATGCTTGGATGCCACAACAATACAAGACAGAACTTGGTTGTCTCAAGAAGAGAAGTAATTGCTGTCTTCAATTACCAAAGGGAGGTTACAGAGAAGGTGGAGCCAGACTCTCCTGGGAGGTTACACACAAAAAGACAGGAGGCAATGGACAGATGTTGCAACAAGGAAAATTCCAAAAAGAAAATTTGTGGCAAGTCATGGTAGTCAAAAAATGAAATGTGTTGTCCTGAAAGGTTGTGGAATCTCCATCCTTGAAGACATGCAAACCTTGGATGCATATGACCCTGAGCAAGTTGATCTGACCTAGAATTTGGTCCTGGTCTGAGTGGAGGATTTAGACCAGATGTTCTCCAGGAGTGGGAAGTTAATTTATTACACATAATTTATTTTTGTTCAGAATATGATTTGCCATCTGCTAGGAAAGTATTTAGCCACTATACAGCTGTAAATTGTTGTTTGTTTTGGGGTTTTTTTTAATGTTATACTAAATCTAGCTGTAAACTCATGTTAAGCCCTTGTTGGAAGTCAAGAAGGCACAGGTTAGAAAGACAATACAATAGATGTTTGAAAAGCTTTCCTTCTCATTCAAGACTTGTGACTTGTTCCTTGTTTGAAAACAGTACAACAGCAGTTCAATAAAAATTGCCAATAAAACAGGGTTTAAAAACTGTTTAAGTAGCAAAATTAAACGTTCCCTGTGATTGTCCACATCAATTGTCTCTGCTTAGGCTTTGTCTCTTTCTGTTTTTTTACTGTACTGGGAAAGCGGAAGAAGCATGATCAAGTCCACATCAAGGGAGTGAAAACAAGGATTCTACTTATGGAATGACTGTGGTCCTAAAGTCTGAATTTAGAAGATATTAAGTCTATTCAGACCAGTTCTTAAAGTGGCATAAACTTGTGTAGGCCTAGTTGAGTCTAAACAGCGTTACACCAATTTATGCCCATTGAGGACCTGGATTTACTGCACTGGAAGATTAGTAAGTACAATTCCCGATGTTCTTGGTATAGAAGCTGGCTGGGGCCCAAGAATGTACAGGTTGTGGGTACACCAACAAGCTACTGTAGGGCATGGACATACAGCTCGTCCATCACTGTGGTAATTTTGTCCACATATTGCTTTTACTGTTACTCTCTGGCAAATATGAGATGTTCTGTACCTCCACCATTAAGCGTTACTTCCTTCGTGGCTAAAGTAAGGGCAGATGTCCTAGACTGGCTGCTTGCAAGTTGATGTTTAAACTACTTACTGGCTACTTGGTCGTTAATCTATCCTTTATTTTTCAAGTCCAGTCTGGGGAAAGACAATATCAGAAATACCTGCACCAACTAGAAAATAAACCAACTCCTTGGTCTCAAGCTTACCAAAATGACCAAACGTATTTCACAGACTTACACGTCTTGTTCCTCTCACATCAAATGCCATCACACCTTGATACAACCACCTGCCAAGTTCTCCTGTTCAGGCTACATGCCATTTGACGCACACTTCAGAGCTCTCCACACCTCAGAACTGCATCTTCTCTGGCATTTTTGATTTTACTAACTTAGCACAAGCAGTAACAAACAGGATCTTCAGCTACAAACAAGAACGTTAATTCTCCTATGCAATGATGGACCACTTTAAGGATAAATCTTTTGTAACAAAACTAACAACAGTCAAAAGGTCTTTCTTTAGTAGAAATACTTCATTTTCTGTGCTGTAGCAAACTATACCCCCATCATTTACTTCTCCACCGGTCTACCACACTGAGGCCAGTCCCTTAGCAGAAAGATGCTAGCTGTGTCTCTGATCCCTCACAATTCTCTGAGTGCAGTGAATATTCCAGAAGTCTTCACTAGACACAGGAGTCTTTCCATTAACTGTGGTATGTTCATTTCCCTGGGACGATCCTGACATCACAAGAGACATCTGAAGTATGAAAGAATAGGAAAACAGTTCTTACTACAACTAGTTTTAACCAGAAATGGAAACTATCCTGCCTAGGTGACTTTCCATAGAGCATCACCTATAGCTTGAGAGCTTAAGTGCCCAGGATACAGGACCATGTTTCTGTATTTCATGAACATTATGAAGATAACATTGTATTTAAAAGAACTTAATTTAAAAGAAAAATAGTAAATGGCACATCATGTAATTGCTATTTATTTTCATAAACATGAGGTATTTCAAAGTGCTATAAGACGCAGCACTAAATGTACATCGTTGGAAGAAATTAAACACAGAACTTTGCAGTTACCCAGTTCTATGCACCAAACATTAACAAATACATTAACTGGAAGAAACAGGCTAGGAAAAGGCATATATAGTAAATTTCTTTACAAAAGTTTCTTAGTTCAAAAAAGTGATAAAGTAATATCTACTCAAAACTTTCACAACTCATTTTCATACGAAAATATAAGTATCAAATTTAGTTATGTATCAGCATCATACTAAAGTATACAGGCAATGTAAGAATTAGTACAGTACATAACAGAGATTAACAATATATTTGTATACAAAAACATGCTCCTCAAACATTGAGGTATTACAGTACTTAGGTATGAACTTCCAGTCTAATACTGGTAGCAAAAGCCACCTCTCATAACCCAAGACATGTACAAAAGGCAAGTGTGTAGATGGTATTTACAGAAAATTCCCACAGGGGTACAAATGCCAACCCCTAAAGTAACATCTGTTAGAACATAAGCACCATAAAACTTAGGAATGAACGTTTTAAAACTCAACTAGATGTCATCAGCAGCTCCAAATGCTCACAACAATTTAAAAAAAAAAAATCCCCACCATCTACAGTTCTTAAGAAGAAAAACAAAGGCAGTCCGTCGTTGTTTGGGAGTCTTGCAATAAACTCCTTGCAAGAACATCCATTTGCTCCGTACCCGGATAATATAATTTGTCGACTACTTCAGGGACTGGATTGAAAGTAAAACCAACATTCTTAACGTCAAAAAACACAATTTTTTTTAAAGAATCAAAAATGTGCAAAGTGGCAATGACTGTCCTGGTCAGCCAAAACAAAACAAAACAAAACAAAGAAAGTTTAGCAAGTCCGCTTGTATTCTATTTTCTTTAGCAACTGTTGTTGTCTGGCTTGCAATTTTTCCTTTTCAAGCAATAACTTCTGCTCCTCTGCCTGAAGGGAATGAACATATTCAGTGGCTTTTTTCAAGATCACAACTTTTGCAGCTTTCTCATTTTTAACCAGTTCTGGAACATGGTCCCTTAATGTGAGGAAACTTGACCGTAGATCATTACGCCGTTGACGCTCCAGGATATTATGGTTGCGTCGACGTTCACTATCCTCCGAATCAGAGTTTCGAGGACTTGAACTCTTAGACTTTGGTTGGATAATGGGTTTTACTGGACGGGGCACCTCGGTTTTTAACTTTTTCTGTGGTGGAGCATCTTCACTCTCCATGTACGGAGAAGGAGCAGCGTAATTATGCTGCTGGTGAATTGGTGCGCAACGCTTTAAAATCAGTTCATTCTGCTGTGTCCTAACTGATGGAAAAGTGGTATTTTTAGGACGCACTGTAATAGTAAGGGTGGTAACAGCCTTGTTGGAGGAGGAGCGTCTTTTCTCCACTGTCACAACATCTATTTCTTCTTCTTCATCCTCTTCCTCCTCATCTTCGTCATCTTTTGGTAATGGAACATGGAAAATAAAAGAGACGTTATTCTCCCAGAAAATATTCCGAACAAGTATCAACCCAGATATACTTATTGACAAAATATGAACATTAAAAGCAGCAATGAAACAAATGATGGCAAAAACAGGGTGTGCCCACCATCTGTAGTCAGATATAGATCTAGAAAAGCATGCAATATACATTAAATGACTGAACAGTGATTTCTAAAAGTTTAATAAGTTTAATGAGGTGGGTTTTTTTTAAACACTTCTAATTTCCAATCAAAGCGAGGCTACCACCCACATAATAGCAGCAGCAGAAAAGAGTTTTTAGACAGAATGGATGTATTTTGAATGGAATCGCAAAGCTGCAGTACAAAAGGCCTGCACAGTGCCACAACACAGCCCTTGCTTGGTAGAAAAGCAGCCGGAAAACCAAACAATCGCCGGGTTTGTTCTGAGGCAGAAGGTGAAGCTGCTCCAGCCGGGGACCCTTTAAGCCGGCGCTTGGTGCACTGCCAAGAAGACAGCTGTTGGAAGTGCTTCCTCACCCAAAGCTGTCAAACCAGACATTAAAGGGACAGCAGGCTTTGAAACTCGGGACAGATCACCAAGTTTATGGCAATGGTCATAGGGACCAGCTCATCTACACACACGAATCCACGTTTCAGCCCAAGGGGACTTCTCTGCAAGCACAGATGGGATGTTTCTGGGCGTCTTAGGCTCTTGTCAGTGCAAGGGCAAGTGCTGCTCTGGGGGGTCACCAGCTTGCTCCAGCCTTCCCCAGTCACACCCAGGGGCACACACGGTCACCCATCCCGCACGAACCCTGTCGCCAAGGTGACAGTGGCAGCCTGCTCTG